AATGTGAAACTGCTTCTATGGTTGATTAATATGTGAAAAAAAACTTTCATTTCAGACATTTTTCCAGTTTTATCAAGAAAGGAACAGAAAGCAAAAATCAGATAATGAGCAGAATGCCGTCACTCTGATGAATGCAGGTATGGAGCTGAAATGATTGCTATTATTCAGCCAACATGGATTATGTAACATTCATATGTTGATTTTGTTCAGAGAATAAAGATGCTGCAGCAGATGAGAAACAACAAAGCATCTCCATGATGAAGATCTTTAAAAAGGTCAGACACTAAATCCACATGAATCTGTTTTAAAGTTCATCTGATTATTATTATTATTTTCTGGACTATCGAGCGCATCTCACATAAATGGCATCCACAGTTTTTTTTTTAAACTGGAAACTTACATAAATATTGTATAAGCCACACCAGGCTATTAGCCACTAATGTCCCAGCCACTCTCTGTTTTTTTTAGTACTGTTTCTGTTGTTTTGGATTTATTGAGGATGCAGCCTTCATGTCGATAAATTAGTGACGGATTGGGCCGACTAGCGAACACTCAGACTGACATGCTGTGGGTCAGAGACGCAAGTTGGATGCGATTCTTGCTGAGACTCGTAGCCGAGCTGCAGACTCTAAAACTCTCTAGCAGGAAGGAATCCATCCTGGAGAAGTTGCTTGTTTCGGTTCAGTTGGACGGCCACACTGATTTGGATGATTGGAATGAGCGATGGATCGGTGAGACTTTAGGCAGATTGAAATGTAACATCTACCCGACCTAAAGCTTCTGTATCTGAACTGTGTTCGCCTCGGCTGGCTGGATATCTCAGATCTCCAGGAGATAAGTGAACATGACGCTCCTGCTCTCCCGCTCCCTTCTGAAATCGTCCATGTCACTGTGGAGCAGAGCGCTCCAAGGACTTGCTCCGAGATAATACCATCATATCAGACTGTTGCCTGGGAGAGCGAGCTGCACGGTTTCATGGTCATGCAACAGTAAATGGATGCACTCCGTGATGTCACCTTTCACTCATGTCTGTTTATCTCAATGTTGCTACATGTGCTTACTTCCCTGATGCATGTCTCTTTGCTCTGTCTGTCTAGTTTTATTTATTGCTTTTAAAAAATTGTGGAGTACTCACTATTTAGAAAAATTTTATACTTTTTAGATTATTATGCAGAGAAAATTCTATTAGTTTTTTCAGAAAAACGTCTTCTAGCTGGGACGTCCTGTGGTGGCGCAGGGGGTTAGCACGCCCCACGTTTGGAGGCCTTAATCCTTGACACGGACTTCACGGGTTGGACTCCTGGACTGTCCCGGCGACCTTTGCTGCATGACTTTCCCCCTCCTCGCCCTCTTTCCTGTGTGCCTACGGTCAAAAATACGAGCCACCAGCATCGAAAAAACTCTTTGGAGAAAAAAACCCCAGAAAACTTCTTCTAGCTTATAATTATGGAGTACTTATACTTCAGACAACCAGCACAACAAAGACTCAATCAAAACTCTCTGATGACTAATTATCCCACGATAATAACTCAGAAATGGTCCAAATTAGGATGTATTTTTATTTCTTTCATACTTACGGAAGTTTCTGTTGTATCAAAGGTTTGTGGTGCTTTTCTATCCTAAAGAAAATTATATATAATGTCAGATATTTCACAAGGAGATATTAACGTACATGGAAAAACCTCACATAACCTTGTAATTAAGGCAGAAAGTACAGTGGCCACCGTAAGAAGGGCTTACAGTATTCAATTATGCCACATCACTGATCAGTAGATTATTGTGAGGGAATGCAAAAGGAAAAAACTAATTCCCATGTTCCCTGGAGGCTTCCGTATGCTTGACAGCTCAGAGCTGACGGTTGCTTTCGCTAGTAGGCTGGAAGATATTGTTAAATAGATGAAGAATCTTGGAAATTGAAAGCTTCCCCTGAGTGACTGAAGCTGGAAAAATCCCCGTATCATCGTGTAGCATCGGAGCATCGGAGCGTGATCACCAAAAGTTATAATTAGCGCTCAAAATATAGCTCAGTAAATTTGCTAAAAATTGGCTAAAATTCATAGTAACTGATCAAATTGAATACAGATAAAATTGTATTGTAAGATTTTGTATTATTATTGTGTATGTTGTGTTTTTTCTATCTTATTGCACTCATTTTTCTACATGTTTTAATATTTCAACAGTGCTAATACTAATTCATGGTTAATGGTGCTGTAATGTGCTTTTCTATTAGCATTACTTCTGAACTTTTTGTCCTGAGTAGGTCAGAGTTAATCTGAGCTTCTAATCTGCATTCTGATATTAAATATAGTGTTATAGATGTACTTATAGGGTATATATACCACATATAAGCTAGTTTCTTTGGTTTTACTGATGTGTTGGTAAAATTGAACTCTATATTGTTGGACAACATTGGAAAACTTAATGATGAAAGATCTAAAGCTTTATTAATATTGGCATCCCATATTCTAAGATGCTTTACTTTGGCCTTGTTCCAGGTCAGGTTCTTTTGGTTATGGTGCATTTTTGGCCTGCAGTGCCCAAGATCAGCTTCTCCAGAACGTGGATGTTGAGCCCCGGCCCAGAGGACCGAGTGGGCCGGTAGCTGGTGACCCAACTGGTCACTAGCAGTGAGACATTGAATGAATATTTGACATCGAAAAGACTAAAAAATACTAGCTCATTTCTTTTATTTATTTTCAAAAGCATGCAATGTTTGCATGTGGATGCACTAATGTTCACTATAGCAGACGTTGTGTGCTCTCTGTTGTTGCTCACCAAGGATCCCACAAATTCAGAATCTTTGGATCAGGGCCAATTTTCTTTCTACTTCTGTAGTGTTGGAATTAGTCACTGAAGTGAATTCACTTACCTGCCATCTACCTTCATCAGGAGTATTTGAAGTGACCTTTCTTGTAGGTTTCACCTGCTTCACTAATATGGCTGCCAGCTTCTCTTTAGGTAACCAGTAGATGAAACCAACGTCTTTCCTCTTTCCAACCCTCAGATTTGGATCCTGGCATCGTTGGTCTGCTTCACCTTCACCGTCACCATCGGCACGTTTCCCGCCATCACTGCCGACACGCGATCCACGCTGGCCAACGGAGGAACCTGGGGTCAGTCTTCCATGTTGGCCGCCTGACCTCCACATGACCTCTGGCGTCAGTCCTCCATGTTGGTCACATGAGGTCTGCCTGCCTCTCCTGATGACTCTCCGTGTTTTCTCCGTGTTTCCGGCGCAGAGCGCTACTTCATCCCCGTCAGCTGCTTCCTGCTCTTCAACCTGAGCGACTGGACTGGGCGGAGCCTAACCGCTGTCTGCATGTGGGTGAGTTTCTGATTGGCCGACGACCCGATTGGCCGCCGGTCGGATCTGACGAGGCGTTTGTGCAGCCAGGTAAAGATAGTCCGGTGCTACCGGTGGCCATCTTGGCTCGCGTTGTCTTCGTCCCTCTTCATGCTGTGCAACGTTCAGCCCCGCCTCCACCTGCCCGTCTTCTTCCATCACGATGGATTCTTCATCGCTTTCATGCTCCTCTTTGCCTTCAGCAATGGCTACCTGGCCAGCCTCTGCATGTGCTACGGTCCGAAGTAAGATAACAGCGAAAATCACACTTGCTCCGTTTTTACATGACAACAGACTGTATTTCATGTGTCTTCTGCAGGAACGTTCTTCCCCATGAAGCAGAAACCGCAGGAGCCATCATGGCGTTCTTCCTGGCTCTGGGATTGGCTGCCGGAGCCGCCATCTCCTTCCTGTTCAGAGCACTGGTCTGACTGGGACCCTATAGTGGTCTGACTGGGACCCTATAGTGGTCTGACTGGGACCCTATAGTGGTCTGACTGGGACCCTATAGTGGTCTGACTGGGACCCTATAGTGGTCTGACTGGGACCCTATAGTGGTCTGACTGGGACCCCTTCATTTTAACATCTAAAGAACAGCACATATTTAAATCTACTGAAGTTTACTAAATGTTTTAAATGGAAATAAAATGTAAAAAATCAGATTAAAAACTAAAAATGAATAAAATCCATGATCCTGAAAGGACGTTTGGACAAGAGGCGCTGAAAGAATCTAATTTCATGTCAGGGTTTATAACAGCGGTTTTTTATGTCAACAAACCAGACTAGAAATCGGAGCATAAATCCCTCATCCATCGACTCGACAGCTGAAATGGAAAGTCTGAACCAAGGTCAATTGGGCTGAGTGTCAAAAAGCCAATTTATGTTCTGACTATATAAAGATATAAAAGCAGGAAATCATAGCCCAGGGGTGGGCACTCCAGGTCCTCGAGGGTCTCCTGCAACTTTTAGATGTATCTCTACTTCAACACACCTGAGTCAAATACTGAGGTCATTAGCAGGTCTTTGGAGAACTTGATTGCATTTAGGAGGTGATTCAGCTGCTGGATTCAGGTGTGTTGGATCAGGGAGACAACCAAGAGTTGCAGGACACCGGCCCTCGAGGACCACCCCTGTTATAGCCAGTAGAAACAATTCAACTGCATCAAATACAGGAAATCATTTGATGCAGACGATCTGAAAAGCTGAAGGAAATGTTTTGGACAGTCAGAAGTAGCCGGACTCCATGGATGATAAAGGTCAACGATCAGGATCATTCGGATCAGTTTTCAGTCCTGAAGGTTTGGCTCAAATGTTGGGAAAACTTCAGAAATAAGAAAATTAACTGAGACTTAAAAAACAAAACTGGTTTCATTCATCCACATATGAACACATGAATCTGAAGCTTGGAGCAGAAATCATTTAGAGATCAGAATTTGATGCTGGCGGATTTGATCCAACTGGTGGATCGAACTGATGGATTCGTTGGTGGGTATTTCCAGCTGGATCCAATTGGAAAAGTTTCTTCCTGAAAATATTTGTTTGTTTGAAACTCAGTGAGTTTTTTTTCCTCTAGTTTTCATCTCTGTTGACCTGTTGGGTTTTTGAAGCCTTCAGAGTAAAACCTGATCTTTGATGCTTTTATTGTGAAGGCTGTAGCAGGAAGACACTCTGGGAGAGTTCAGGATAAAAATAGCTGCGCCATGTTGCTGCTGCTCTGTGTTCTGATATTCTGCGGCTTTCGCTTCGTCATGTCTGAAGAGAAACTGGTTTCAGTCGACTTTGAGATTTTTGGGAATGTGCAGGGTGAGTCACGTGACCAGTGATGTCCAGTGACGTGCGGTGAGGCTCTGACGTCATCAGAATCCGATTTGCAAATAGATGCATAGATTGACAGCCGTTGACAGGTTATGTTTCACTTCTGCACCCTTTACACATTTAAACTGTAGCTCATAAAACGCACATTTCCTTAAAAAACTAATGTTATTGCTGTCTTACCTTTACTTCTACATGAAGTCCGTGCGTCGCTCCTTCTGCACAGAAACATCCGTCACTTTGCGATAGAAGTACTCCTTATCTCTAGCTCTAATAAAATATCGCTGCACTTGACTTGCTTACCGTATCGGTTAGCCTAGCTCGCTGTCACTTGCTCTGCAGTTGTGGAGCGACAAGACGAATGTCTGGGATCTTGAGCGCCCCCTGCCATGAGGCCAGAGAACTGCCTGCCTCACCTCCAACCTGTTCTCTGCCGTTTAGAATCGCTCAGCACTCGAAACACGTTACACAAACACAGTTGGTGACAAAAGCACTGTACATTATATACATGAGCTAAATGATTGAGTTCACATATTAAATATGTCTAAACCATTTCATGGACGCCGTACAGCAACATGCTCTCTCCGCTTAGCAGCCAGCCAGTTAGCCAGGGATGCGCAATCCCAGGTGAGGCTTCCAAGCATTTCAATGGGAAATGAAGAAAATTCAGCGATTTTGAAGAAAGAATCATCCAAATTGGTGAAGCTACATGAAAAATAACTATTTCTGAACCACCGGATGAAGATAACAATTTCAATTATTTTATTATTATATTTTTTCTTTCATTTCTGTGATGAAAGGTGCCTCACCTGCCTCACCTGCCTCACCTGACCGCACGTCACTAGTGATGTCATACATGACGAGTTTGTGCAGCTTTGTGACTCTGACTTTGTGCTGTCCATCCAGGTGTTTGCTTCAGGATGGTGAGTTTCTCCATCATGACGACGTTTCACCTTTTTAATTCAAATCTGAAAACATCAAAACAGAAAAAATACAGAACTAAATACAATCAATGAAATTGATCAGATGATTTGGAGCCTCTACAAAACCCCAAGAACAGGTCGAGTACCTGAGACGGACATTGACCCGGTCTTACCTAAAGGTTAAAGGTCAAATAAAAAGCTGCAGTCCAACCTCAGGTGACATTCATGGTTTTTAAAATCTGACTCGGTGACTACACCCAAAACCAGAACCTGGGCTTGGTTCTGTTCGCTCCAGCAGGAGCAGAAACTCAATGCTTTAGGAAATGTTCTGACCGGGTTCTGACCGGGTTCTGAGCTTTGGGACTCAGAGTTGCCATGGCTCCCAGTCTTACCGACTGTTTGACGTCGGCCAGGAGACGCAGAAGCCAAAAATACCGAAAAACAGGTTGGGTCAGAACCTCTGCCGCCCTGCGAGGAGGTTCTGGAGAGTTTCAACCAAAACTTCAACGTACAAGTTATGGTGGAAACCAGAAGTTTACATACGCCGCTGTTCCTCTTCGTCTGAAGGGAAATCAGATCAAACTTCTCAGGTCAGAATCACCTAAATTATTTCTATCTGCTCAACAAGAGAAAAGAATTTTTGTTTCAACATCTTCAAGATCAGAAGTTTGAATGACATCAGAAGCTGGTGGACGCCGACCTTCAGGACACGATCCGTTAAAGGTCACATTTCATTTGAAGGGAAAATCCGTCTGTTCAGTCAAATGGATTATCCCTCAGTCGGGTCGGGTCGGGTCGGGTCGGGTGGCGGCGTCAGAAACCTATGCAGGGACTCCCAGAGAATGTGGAGCCGGTCCTGGGGATTCCTTTAAGACCAGAGCCCACCAGGAGGCGCTGCAGAGTGAAACCCAATTACTCTTGGAATATAAAACAGGCGAAAGCTGAAACCGTTTGACAGTGGGCAACTTTCTGCTCACTTCCTGTAAAACATTCCTCAGACACTTTTATTCATGAAGGATGAATTCACCTGCAGGTTTAGAGCTTTACAAGATTCAGTTCATATGCAAATCTTACTAATAAACTCATTACTAATAGGTTGAATTAAATTTATACACAAAAATGAATAACTTGAGGAATCCCAGCTCAGAATCCGTCACATTAAGTCACAAATATGAAGATTGTGTAGAACTCTAAAAGCTTCCCCAGGTGTGGAAGACAAGTGATCTCTGACATCACTTCCTGCATCTCAGACAATGACATCACTCTTCTTAAACCTCCTGTCTTTAGCATGCATACATCTCTACATTATGGCTCTTCTGTCTTCTCTCTCCTTCTTTCGGCTCAGACACTGAGGAAAAAAAACATCTCAGTGCTGCAGGTGATGGTCAGAGATCATTTATCAATTTATTAATCAAGCTGATCAATAGCAATCAGTGTTCCTGCAGGTGACTCAGACCCAGTCAGCTACTGGCTGACAGACCGACTGTGTTCTGGTTCCCAGTACACGGAGGATCAGGGCCGCGCTCTGGGACTGAGCGGCTGGGTGAAGAACACCCGACAGGGGACGGTGATCGGCCAGATCCAGGGACCGGCTCAGCAGGTCAACAGCATGTAAGTCCAGACCGACCAGTCAGAGAACACCTGCTTTCACACCAAAGCCGATCAGGTAACTGCAGGGAAATGCTACACCGGCTCACAATTATTCATACCTCAGTCCAGGAGTCGTTGACCAAATATTTTTATAGAGTTTAAAACTCAGAATGTTGACAGAAAACTTTGAAGGCCATCCATCATTTTGACTGATTAAACACATCGGACCAGTTGCTGCAGACAGTTTCAACTTTATGCACATCACAAAAATCACCAAAATCAAGTTGTAGAAGAATAGAATATAATTTCTGGTCTGCCCACTGAACTCAATGCATGTTCTCATTTTAAAAATTGATGGGTAAATTTAGATTACGACGGGATTTTTCAGTCGAAATGACAATGAAAATGTCTAGCGCACCTTCTGTCCCCGTTGGACTTTAAATGACTTGAATTCAGCCAAGAATGTTTCAACCATGTTTAACATCAAATGTCCTTTGACCTTCAAGCCTCTGGGCCCTGATGGGTCAGAACAATGCGTGTTGTTTGGAGCCAGAGTTTGATGAAGAGCCTCTCCTCTGAGATGTTCAGGAACAGACGGGTTCTAACTTCTGCATATCTGTGTTCTGGTGAAGCAGCCAGACAGCTACAGGCTGCTGCTTTGCTAAAGGATCATCCAATTACAACCTTGGTTAAATGTAACGAGTGTCATCATCCATGTGGACCAATAGCATTCAACCTGTGATGTGCATAAATGTGTAATAGCATGTAGCATTTTCTTCATTAAATTTGATAGTCTAATCTCACAATGTAATTCAGGAAGAATCCAAAGCCTCACTGGATGTTACTGACCACAAGACAAGAGTTAAAGAGGGAGAACAGTTGTCTTTAAATCAGGAGCTAAACCAACTAATACAAATTGCTTATGCAAACAAATCTGCATAAAGAAAGAAAGTTTAAAAATGAGAGTGAATAACTTTGCATCAGATCCATAGTTCAAAGTTCCTACCAACAGCTTTTTCTTCACAGAGTAAATAAACCCAATATGAATCTGACCTCAGTTTTCAAAATGGGTCCAAAGCTTTTTATGATGCCTCCGGTGGGGACGGCAGCGCTGAGCTAACAGATTTAGCTTTATGCTGCTAGCAAGGAGGAGAGTTTGGACAGTGACTGTAAAATTGGTTCAATCAGTAAGTAACAGCTAGTGACCATCATAAACTCACCACTGATGTAGAAAGGTGAGTAGTGAGCGGCAGCAATGTGTGAATGAATGGAGTGAAACTCTGGACCATCAAGTAAAACTGTTTCTCTGTTTTTAAGTAGATTCAGATTTTCAGAATTTCACTTGAGATGAAAGTTTTTCTGTCTGATATTTCAGCCAAACCTTCAGACGTTTTTCCTTCTCTTCCTCTTTGCGTTTTGCAGGAAACTTTGGTTGAAGAACGTCGGCAGTCCGAGTTCTCGGATCGACCGAGCCGTTTTCTCCAATGAGAGAGACATTTCTAAACTGGAGATCCAGGGCTTCTCCACTCGCTACTGAGCATGTGCAGACTGATTTACAGCTTCATCAGCAGTTAAGGAACCAAACAAACCTCCAAATAAACCAATGTACGTCAGCCTCATTTGCAAACTGAGCACATAAAACATTGATCTGTGAAACTTGTTCAATGTGTTATTGGATTGATTGATTGATTGATTGATTGATTGATTGATTGGTTGATTGATTGATCAGGACTTATGGATAATAATCAGCTGCTCTCATTAATCTCCACAGCATCAGAACAGCAGAATGCTAAACATCATCTAGGTTTTAACTTCCCGACCCAGAACCGATCAGGACCAAAGCTGACCGGGTCTGGCTCAGCTTTGACCTGGTCAAACATGTTCAGGACATTTGACTATTGTTAACGAAAAGGTTTGATGTGTTTGATGTTGAAGACTGTCGAGAGTCCTCGGTGCAAAACTATCAAATCTTCACATCTGTAGTTCAATCAAGCTGTTGACTGCTGACCAGAACCGAGAAAGACCAGAACCAGCCGTTAGTTAGAGCCTGACAGACGGATCTCACTCTGTCATTAGCTTTGAATAAATTGATCAATTCTTCTAATGCAGACTCCTGGTAGTTATTTTTTCAAAATGATTTTACCGTCTGGAAGTGTGAGAACTGCAGATCTCCAACACTGCCCAGATTTAAACCGTGACCTTGAGTTTAAGGTCACGGTTTAAACCAATGACTTTAAACCGTCATTAGTTTAAGGTTTATTCTCTCGTCAATAAACCTGACGGCCTGACTCCTGCTACTGAAAACAGGGAGGGTCACATTTGGAAAGCAAGACACCATCTGTCATCCTCGGCTTCCACTCTTCTGTCTGTTAAAGGCACAAATTTGGCCTTTAATATGGAAAATGACTTTAAATTGGATGAACTGATTCAGGCAGTTGTCACATTTTTTTGGTTTTCTAGAGTCTAGAAATGGTGCAGGACGCCAACACAAAACAGGAAGTCAGATCCTCATGTCCACTGGCTGCAATCAGCTTTTAAAGTGACCTCTGAACTCTGAGTCTGGCGAGTCCGATAAGCAGATCAGTCAGAAAAACTCATTTTAAAGAAACGGCTGAAGACATTTTGTTCACAAATGACTTCAGCCGTTTCTAAATAACTCCAGAATCAAATAAAGATCGAAAACAAAGAAGCAGATTCTACAGCCGAGATCTAAAAGTTCGACCCACGGTCAGGATTCAGGGGTCAGGGTTCAGAGGTCAGGGATCAGGGTCTGCCTCATGGATCCCTGGACCAGCTGAGGCTCCAAACTGACCAAGTTTATTTCTGTTCCTGACCTGAACAGAAAGGTCAGGAACAGAATTTAAAATGAATTCATTTAAATTGAATTCTATCATTAAGCTGTAACCAGTAACTCTGTAACGAAATAGGTCATCAGGTCCAGTAACCAGTAACAAACTGGTAACCAGTAGCAAGCCAGCTGATGGAGAAGTATGACCCTTCGGGAGACTCCTGTTCAGCTGAACATCTGGAATATGATCTGGTTCACAGTCATCTTGATAGACCTAGATTATCTAGATCAGGAAGAATTGATGCTACAATCAGAGCAGGAAGAAGCTCTGCTGCTGGTTTCCTGTTTGCTGCTGGTTTCCTGTTTGCTGCTGGTTTCCTGTTTGCTGCTGGTTTCCTGTTTGCTGCTGGTGTCCTGCTGGTGTCCACATGGGGGCAGCGTTGCACTGACTGATCAGTTCAATTATTTCATGAAGCTGAAGTTCAGAGAAATTTTCCTTCATGAATAAATGAACCAGATATTCCTTTGAAACAGGAAGTGATGGAAGCAGAGACAAATTGTCCAAAACATCACAAAGACATTCGCATGTCCTCCATCCGACCCGATTTGACCCGACCAGAATCGCCCTCTGTCATCAGGTCTGATCCGTATAGTTCTGATGAGGTTTCTGATTTTATGTGGCAGTGAACCCGAATCAGCATCCGGGTCAGAACCAGAGGTTCAGCAGATGTGATCTCGGGTTTCATCCCGAGATCACAAACGGTTCTGAACAGGCCCGATGGTTCTGGTGTTTTTGTCCGGCGGACCCCATGGGGTTGTCATGGCAACGAGCCTCTGCGCAGCGTCCATGCGGTGAAGCATCGCGTCTGCTGGCCGCCGCCGCCGCCGCCGCTGGCCGCCGCCGCCGCTGGCCGCCGCCGCCGCTGGCCGCCGCCGCTGGCCGCCGCCGCCGCCGCCGCCGCTGGCCGCCGCCGCCGCTCTCTCCTGCAGGCGCAAGTTTTCTCGTCGCAGGTCGAGGATCTGCTGCTGCAGCACCGCTTTGTCCTGCTGCTCCTGAACGCATCACAGCAACACCTCAGCCTGATGATGTCATCCTCTCACCTGTATGACATCAGCAAGTCAGGCTTACCTTCAGCAGGTCCTGCTGAAGCCCCTGAAGGATCTCCTCCAGCTGAGACACTTTTTCTGAGAGAGAAGCTGTGATGTCACTGGGGGAAGGGAGAACAATGATGACATCATCAATGACATCACAAAGTGCCTTCAAAGTGGCTCCAGGTGTAATTCCTCACCTGTTCAATGCGGGGCTCCCTGATCTCACTTCCTGAGTGTAACGGAGCGGATGGTCAGTGAGAGATGACGGAAACACACCTGCAGCGGTTCACACACACACACACACACACACACACACACACACACACACACACACACACACACACACACACACACACACACACACACACACACACACACACACACACACACACACACACACACACACACACACACAGTCAGCCAGTCTGACCTTCACCTGTCTCTCTTCCCGTGTCTAACTCCGCCCCCAAATCCCCTGGCCTCAGCCAATGAGGTGAGGGCTCAGGAAAGATGCAACCAGAAGTAGTTTTATTGTGAAAGTCCAGCTGCTCACCCTTCTGAGGTGTACGCGGGCGTCTGATGGTCGGTGCGCTGTGGCGGCGCAGCAGGATGTGGGCGGGGCTCAGCTGTGTCCCGCCGCTGGCGAGGGACAAACTGTCATGTGACCTGCTGTGGGTCAGACGTTTCCATGGAAACAGGGCGGAGACTCCAGAGGCTCTGCAGGAAGACTGAGACGGGAACCAGGTGAGGCGGCCGAGCCACTCTGACTGTGACCTCATTACGGTTGTGACCAATCACAGCCGTGTGTCGTCAGCTTCCTGAACTCTGACCCTCTGATTGAAAGGTTTTCGTACGGATCGGAGGCGGCGCGGCCGACATCTTTTCCTTCTCCATCTCATACGGGTTGATCCTGACAGAAGCAATTTGTGTTTGTGTTTCTTTCTCTCACACACTGGTCAAAAGTGTCCAGATTTTCTTTTTGGTGGTGCTTTGCATTGCACTTGCCTACCAAGATGGCAGATCACTGTCAGTCCAGACTGGTGACCCGGAAGACGCGCGAAATTCAGATCGAGGTCCAGAAGTGGATTTCAACATTAGTGCTCTGGCTTATTATTTCTGCTCTAGCTTTTTATTCAAACTAGAGCAGAAAATAATAAATGATCTGAAAATCGATTTTAAACGACAGATTGCTGCCTGTTAGAAAGTGGCTGCAAACTCACTCCTGGTTTTAAAATTAACTCCCTTGTGACCGGCTACGTTTGAATCTCACAAATAAATTGATCTTTCTCTCCTTTAGAAGACTGGAGCAACCGTACAGACTTTAGACACGTTGATGCTGGATCAGCAGATTTCCTCGCCGACCTCCGTCTGCATTGCGTGACGTTGGTGCAGCAATAATCTGCTGAAGAGGCGGGGCCCAACGAAAACCTGACCAATCAGGTTGCTGCTCATTCGTCTGAGCAACTTCTCCTTCCTGCAGGATCTCAGGTCAGGAAGTTTTTATTGGCTCATTTAGTTTGGATCTCATTGTTTTATTACTAACGGAAAGATTTCAGACTCACCTTCTGGCTTCTGATTGGACGATGTCTGGGTCTGGAACATGAAGTCAGGTCAAGTTTATTAGTCCAGAACATTTGAGCAACAAGGCATTTCAAAGTGTTTTACATCAAATGAACATCACTGAGTCACTAATTGAGAAAGACTCATTACAATCATCAATACATTATCAATATGTTGGTCGGTTATTCATATTTTCTTAATAAAACTCAAACCAGCTGCATTTTTAGCCTGAAAGGAGCTCAGGGTTAATCAGTTCAGTGATTTCTAAACTAGCAGCAGTTTAACGTCTCTTCTCTCAGTGAGGGAATCGTCTGATGTCATTATTGATGCTATTTTATCTTCATAATAATAGCAGGGTCTTTCAAATGGTGAGGAAACCTCAAAATTAGTCAAATAAATTGTGTTTTAATGGACACAAATGTATTGGGGACAAATTCTATTCTAGCAAAAAGTAAATGAACGTTACAATATTTTACAGAAACAACAAATACAATGTTCAAAATAATGGCAGCATTGGCATCTTTTGCTGGGAATGGAGGTCAGATGGAGGTCAGACGGAGGTCAAATGGAGGTCAGGCGGAGGTCAAATGGAGGTCAGGCGGAGGTCAAATGGAGGTCAGATAGAGGTCAGACAGAGGTCAAATGGAGGTCAGATGGAGGTCAGACGGAGGTCAAATGGAGGTCAGACAGAGGTCAAATGGAGGTCAAATGGAGGTCAGATGGAGGTCAAATGGAGGTCAGACGGAGGTCAGATGGAGGTCAGAGAGGTCAGATGGAGGTCAGACGGAGGTCAAATGGAGGTCAGACGGAGGTCAGATGCTAGAAGGTTAAACGTGTGTCTCAGGTGATGGCACCAGATGTCACCTGGTTTTTCTCACCTGCCAGTCTCCTCCAGTACAAACCGCTGGTCAACCAGCTAAGCCCCGCCTCCCATGGACAGGTATCCTGGCTGCAGAGGCGCTCTGCATCCCAGCTGGCATCACCTGGACAGGTCAAAGGTGAATCTGCCTTCACTCTGTCTGCTGATGAACATCTGGTTCCATGATAGTCTCTGAAAAAAGCAGAGCAGATGTTAAGCACCTGCCCAGCTCGACTCACCTGTCCTGTCCTGATGGGAAACCATTACAGGCTAATAAACAGATTACATTTGCTCCAGATATATTAAAGGAAATTTAAATGCTGTCGGCTTGTATAGGGTTAGTTTCTGTTTAACGTCATATTAATCAGAAACATTTGTGTTTCTGCTCCAGTGCAGCAGGGGGCGCCACTCCATGCGATGGAAGGACAATATTTATTTTGGAGGACTGACCCTGGAGTTACCTGGCAACAGAGCCTCTGAGGTCGGTCCCGGGACGGCTCGGCGCCGCCTCCCTGTGGACGTCCGTCAGGACCAGCGTTGCCCCAGCAACCGGAGGCAGTGCTGACGGCGAGTAGAGGGCGGAGTCGATGCCGCTGTCCACCGACACGCCGCTGAGACAGGCGAGCTGAGGCGTCGAGGTCCTGCCGTCACTGCTGCTGCTGGACAACGTGTTGCTGCAACTTGAGCAACTTGTGGCTGCAAACTGCAGAGAGATGAATTCAGGCAGGACCGAGACTTTAAGAACAATTTCTGGCGAAAAGGTGGACTCACCTGGGGCCGGCCGCTGCCGTCTCCGTCTGCTGGA